CCCGGCTGCTGTACTTGTTTCCCCCCCCCCAAAGCCAAACAATGTTTTAGTATTCCCCCCCCCCCCCCCCAAGAGTTTACCAGGGAATCACTTCCTTGTAGCATGCATCCCACTACTTCCTTCCTTTGTCAATATGGAGAAAACACTCCATCTAGTGTACTTGGAGAAACAGAGTGCCCTGAAACTGAAGAACTACCAAGGGAAACCTTCAATTATGAAACATCTTCCAATACTGCCTTCTAATGTTTATCACACAAATTTAGATGCTGCTTTAGCAATACATATCATTTAGGTGGTTTTTTTTTAATTAAATATAAAGTAATCTCACAGCAATGTGCTCCTAAAACCGAACACAATTCTGAGTTGATTTCATTAGGATGGCACATGTAACTGGCAAAACCTGAAAGAACAGTATAAATGAAATAGGAAATTGAAACGATTCAAATGGCCCATGTGATTAGGCCCTAAGAGAGTGACAGGCTGCCAACCAAATACAGGACTATGGAAAAAGCATACTATGCAAAGATTAGTGCATAATCATATTGTCTTTTGCAGCCTTGTATATTTTATTTTTGACTGAAGATACTGGCATACGTCTTCTAATCACATTTCCAAGTTCTTCTCAATATGGTTTCTCAATTTCACCCAATGACTTAGCACTCTCCAAAGCACACAGAGACTGACCTGATCACTCCTAGCAATAAGCAGAAACTTCCTGGAACTTCACCGCTGAAGTTCTTCTAGACTTCGTCTGACACCCTAAATAAATCAATACTTTCCACATGCAGACAGCAAATCATACCATCCTACCACATTTTCTTTTGCTTTATCTTCCTTATTCCTCCACACCAGTCGTTTCCTCTTATACCGATACCATTCACAAATGCATTCATTCTTGGGAATAGTTTTGAATTCAAATGATGTTCCTATTCAGACCTCTAGATTCTTGCAATTTTCTATTATCATATTGTTTTTTTGTGGCTTTGTTCCCACAGCAATTGCAGCACAAGGCCATCAAGTATTAACTAACAGAAATGTCTTACTGTTCTCTCTTGAGACTAAGGGTAGCCTAGGTCACAGGAACATGCAGCCATTACACTAAGGACAGAAACAGGACATTATAGATAGAGGCCTGTAATTAGAGATGAAAGCATGGTGATGGTCTAATTTCTCAGACAACGAAGACTGCCTCAACCACAGCTTTGTCAGACAAATCAGACTTCAAAGGAATCCTGTATTTCCCTTCTAAAGACTGATCACAAAACAAAGCAAACTAATCTGTTAATTATGTGAGATGAGAAAAGCTCCTACTGTGTACTCAGAAACTTTCAGCAGTTAAGGAACACCTATCTATAATGTTTTCTTCTGCCCTGAGACAGAGATCAGCAGTTGCTGGGCAAGAGGCATCAAGAGATTTGTATAAACACCTTCTTTCTATATGATTTACAACAACACTCTGAATGGACATGTAATCTTGGTTCCAAAACATAGAACAGGGAGGTTCCGGTATGTGTTCTGGACTGGTGGCCCAGAGTTTCTTCCAAATTTATCATGGATTTTTCAGTGGAACAAACAGAACTGACAAATAGCTATGCCTACAAATTTGATCAATGGTTGAAAATATGGCAAAATAATATAAAGCTTACAAGATTGGTTAATTTTAAAGAGAATACAGTGGTGCCTCGCTTAACGAGCGCACCGTTTAACGACGAATCCGCATAGCGACGCGTTTTTGTGATCGCTAATGCGATCACATTGCGATGTTTCAGGTGGCAAAACATTGCATTGCGATGATCGTTAAGCGTTTCGCTTACCGATCTTCACATTGCGATGTTAACAGCTGATCGGCGGTTCCAAAATGGCCACTGGATCAACACAAAATGGCCTCCCATAGCGTTTCACGCCGATTCCTTGCTTACTGAGG